TTCTGAATAACAGACGGAAATCAATTCAGAATCAGCGAATCAATACCGCGCGCTCGTGCACTTGAACGACGACAGACACGACTGAAGAACCGGCGCTGAAACAGACGGAAAGAATAAATATTGCATCGTGTTTATTCCCAGGCAACAAAGTTTATTCTGATCCGACGGTGTAAAAAGGGAACGCGTTGCTCTTTCAGGACACAGAAGCTTTTGGTAATAGAAGCTCATAAACATTCAGTCCCCAAAGAAGACGAGGCCAAAAGTCCTGGATTAATGTTTTGCTTCAGTGTGCTAATGCACTTTGAGAGGCCCGACAGCCGAGCACAAGAATTAATAGATTTAGAACTCGCGCTGCGGGCGTATAATAGTTTTAGATGGACACATATTCCGTCAGAGCTTTAACGTTTGGACCTTCTTCTAATTCAAAGTATAAAAAGGTAAATACAACCTACAAATCAGAGTCTTTATAAAGACCGATGCGTTCACGAGAACATCATTTCCAAACGGCACGTCGGGGCAGGGAAATGTGCCGCAGTGCGCCTGTTTGTCTCGTTTCTATTTCACCTTCCCCGTTTCGACGCGTTGAAGCTTCAACACTTTTATTTTTTTGTGTTGTCTTGTATTTTTACCCTCATTTTTATTCCTCTGCTGCGCACAATCCATCATCTTTTTCATACCTTCACGGCTGGGTGGAGGCCCGAGTCAAACAGGGCTTCGTTTTTAATGATGTTGCCGACTCCCGGCATGACGGCCTGGTCCAGGAGAACGTCGCAGAGCATCCTGCTCCGCTGGCTCCTCACTGCCTCCTCGGAGCGGGACAAGCTGAACCTGGAGGAGCACATGTCCAGACTCTCCATGGCCCTGACCTTCTGCTCGCAGTCTTCCGTCAACCTGCAGGAACACAGCCTTGTAATGCTGGAAGAATCTCTAAAACCTGATGGTTGCACCAGCTCAGCTGAGGTCAGAGGTTTCAAAGCGGTTCCACTTTCTTTAATAAGGCATGGGTGAGATGTTCAGACAGCAGTAATGAATGTCCGTCTGGCTTCCTGACATTACAGCAGGACACAACAGGCCACGATCAGAACTGATGTTGAGCAAAAAGAGACATTTTTCATGCAGCAATGGCCGCTGTCGCCAGACAAAGTGTAATGTAGGACAGTCACTGACTCAAACCCCAAGGTGAACTCCCGTCACCTCCATCTATCTCGCTATGCTGCTGTCCCCATTACCTTATTTCTACCGCGCTGTCAAAGAAGGCCACGATGTCGTTGGTGAGGTGCATCTCCAGAGCTGCTGCTGCAGAGCTCGTTTTCACCTTCGGCTGAGCGGGATTTATCCGCATCGATCCGTTCATTCCGAAGTGGACCCTGAAAGATGTCACAAAGACTAAATATATAGATTTACATTTGAAAAGGGTATTTCTTCACTCATTAAGACTTGAAAAGTTAACAAAAAGTGTTTTATACAAAAGGTATTTAATTATGAAGACGAATGAGAGCTACAGCTAAAAAATAGAGCATCTTGAAAAAGTTAAATGTTTGTGTCAATCATTTCAGAAAGTGAAACTCAGATTTTACAGAGTGAATTTTTTTCTTGTCATTCTGATGATTATAACTAACGAACAACGGAAAAACTAAATTCAGTGTCTCAGAAAATGAGAATATTGTGAAGAGGTTCAATGTAAACCAGTGCTTTTCAAAGTGGGGGCCGTGGCCCCTGGGGGGGCATCAAAAGGCTGAAGAGAAGATAAAAAATATTAATAAAAAATATTAATAATAAAATAATTGCCCACTAGGACAATCTGTATCTGTCATTTCCAGATAAACACGCTTGAGAGGTTACGTTTCTTTTTTTGTTCTTCTGATCAACAGTTTGTTGAAAAGTTGTTGTTTTTATATAATTCAGGGTTCAAACATGTTAGTTAACATTTCTATGCTCAGCAGCTGAAATAATTAATTTAATATAGTGAATAAAAGTTAAAACAATCTAAACGTTGATGTTTCTTGTCATGTTTTGTAGCATCGTTTGTGGGGGGGGCTCAGCCAGAAGCTGTTTGGGGGCCATGGCATGGGAAAGCTTGGGAACCCCTGTTGTAAACTCCTGGTGTCATACAGAAGCGTCTTACCTGCTGAGGACACACAGAGCTGGACCGTCTCTCAGTGGTCCAACGT